GTGTAGGACAGGAAGACTCACTCACACACACACACAGAATATAAAGAGTGATTTGGACTTAAACACTTTTCCTTCCAAGGGTTTGTCAAACCATGGTTTAAAACACTCCATAGTACCAAGCTTATTTTTTATTACAAGCTGGCAAATATTCAGGGAAAAAGTTGTATTGAGTGTGCGCCACTTCCTGCACTCCTACTTTAGTCACATACAACAGATCAACACTGGATGCATCGATATGTCCTGATGGACACCATGGACATCTCTGTGGCAGATAGAAGCACATTTAAACTGTGAATCTTTTCAGCCCTGTCACACTGCAGCTACATCTGTGTCTGTATCCTTCACTCACCTCACCTCCACTGTCTCCTCCTTCACCGCAGAGCAAGAGAATCGGCCACTTCTTCTTCTGGTATGTCCGCAGTGAGGTGGCAGGGTGTCTGTACTTCCGCCAGCGCATGGCTGTGATTCTGGAGGCCTACCTGCTGGGCTGTGGTCAGGCCATGCTCGACAGCTTCACCCAGCAGGTCCAGGCTGTGGAGGCCCTGCAGGGGGTTGCATTAGCGATTAAAAAACTGTACCCCGACAAGTCCGACCTTCCTCCTACAGGTGAGACACATCCAAGAAAGACATTCCAATGGATTAATATACCATAAATATACTAAAGTCAAAATCAGTCAAATTTAAAGGTATGTTTCAAATGTTCAAACTGGGCACAACTCACTCGAGGGTCTTCAAACACAGTCCCTGTTCTGCTTTGACGATCCCGTTCATTGAGTTTGCTTTTGTGGTTCTTTGTCTCCTCGTTGAAGCGCGAAGAGTGTTTTTTAGTACCTTAAGGTAGAAATGAAACATGAATTTTAGGCAGGTTAGACCATGTGTTAGAACATGTTTCTAATCTCACATGCTTATCTGATATTCTGTTGCAGCAAACTGCGTCATATTTTGGATGCCCAGTTATGGCTGCATGCTCAACAACCTCTTGTGGTTATGTTGACTCAAACGTATTCCAAACACTTTTTATTGTCTGTTTTACACACTGCCATTGACTTCCTCCTTCCTCCTCACTCACTACTCTTCACTGGCTGAAGGGCAGACAGTTTAGTGAGTTTAATTTCGTTTTTGTCAAGATTGTATGGGAGTCTCTATAACAGCAACTTGGAGCCGATTGCCTGCATACAGTCCAAGAAGTTGACTGGGACGGACTGATTAATTCCTCCATTTCTCCAATTGATTCATTTGAAATTTCTACATGCGTCTCATTTTTTGATGTTGTGTTCTCCTCCTTCCTCTTCCAAACATCCATCCAAAACAAACAAAATGAAACCATTTTCCATCAGCACTGTAGGCTTTTGCTGCAGCTCTGACAGTTACATGGTACAACGTTGCCATGTAAATGGCGGAGTGATGTCTTTAGTGAGGAGCAGCGGCTACTTGTGCTGTCCTGCTGTTTGAGCACATTCTAAATGTCTATATCAGATTGCATGTTGTATAACGTGCTCTAGTGAGTGAGTGTTTGTGGCAGCAGGACATGGTGACAAACAGCTACTCTTCCAGCCATCAGTGATTGGTTGATTGTGTGTAGCTCCCTCAATGTTCAGTTGCTGAAATCCGATCCCCCAATCCCCCTTACCAATTTGTATAAGTGTGTCTTTGTGTTTCTTTTGCTTTAGCTCCCCTCAAGCTTCAAGAGCTTCTTAGAAACAGTAATCTACCGAATGAATTCCTGGTGCCCTATGACCCCCGGATCAGAGCTGGAAGGATCCTGGTAAGCCTCGCTAATGCTGCTCGTGTCAATGCAAATTGAGTGTGTTGGTGTTGAACGACAGTGTGTGGAATACAACATGTTACTCGTGTGTTTTGATGGTCTTTGTCGGCCATGTTTAGTCTTGTGTGAGTGGTAATGCCCCAACAGCCCACACACACAGTGATTACATACAGGTATTCACAATCAGGCCTTTTAGTTGCTAAGCTGCTAATGTACAAGAACACTTTTCACTTTTTTGTCTATTTCCCTCCTCTCTTTCTCTCCTCTCTCTGTTCGTGCCCTGTCTCTCCTTTTCCATCCATTCATTCCTCTTTTAAGTTCAAATATATTTTTCATGTTCTCCAGTCCAATCCAGCTACTCTGACCTACAGTAGTCGGAATGTGAACTGAACGCTCGGTTAAACGTTTCCACTGTAATGATTGTTACTACATTACAATCATACATAGATGTCAATAAACATTTGACACCTAGTGATATCAAACTACCCAATCTAATTATGACTAAAATATTCCCAGTCTGGCAGTGAATGATGCAGTTTGTGTGCAGGCTCATGTGCTCAGATGGATGGACGGATGTTAGAAGGACGACACTTTTAAATATATCTATGAAAAATAATCAAACTTTAACAGTTGTAAGGCTTTACATCGAAGGTCCACATCGGACCTTCAATAAAACCCATTCCCTATCAACTGTCAAGCTCACCATCAACAAATCGGTTCTCTCTGTATCCCTCTCGTCCAGCTGGACAAAAGCAAGGTGATGTCCTCCAGGAAGAAGCCACTGTGGCTGGAGTTCTCCCCCATGCCGTCACCCACCTCTGCTACACCCGTGGGAATAATCTTCAAAGAGGGGGACGACCTCAGACAGGACATGCTGGTCATTCAGGTCAAAGAGAATAAATTTGATCTTTAATTATTCATCTCGCTGAAAAATAAAGAATGTTGGTGTTTTATGTCGGTGAATATATTCCTACCTTTTGGATAAAGTGACACCTGACTATGTGCATCTTCCTGCTCAGACGCTGGTGCTGATGGACTCTATCTGGCAGGGAAAAGCTCTGGACCTTAACCTCGTTCCGTACGGCTGCATCTCCACAGGACACAACATAGGTCATTTTCACTTTTATTATCGATTTATTCAGCTAGCTGTTTAACTATGCTGTCTGAAAGTTTGTTCTGCAAATCAGCAAATGCTTATTAAGTCATTCGACCTAATTAAGTAAGTAAAATGTATTTATAAAGCGCTTACTTAATTAAACCCTACTTATAATAACTTGGAGTGTTGTCTCCATTTTCCATCTTCTTTTTACTATGTTACATAGTTTTCTTTGGGCAACCTCTGAGAAATGATAGACCCGTAAATAAAGCATTACCGTTTTATTTACCAACATGAAGGAATACAATAAATGTTATTCTGAAAGTCCTAAGGCTGGAATGGAACCCAGGATGTTGCGGTTATGTCACCACTGCTAAGCTAAAAGCAGACTAGTGTCTCATTTACACACTTGTTAGCAAGCGCCTTTTCTAAGATGTATTCCTGACGTATTTTATGTCGGAGAACAAAAAAACGTTAACATCTCTTAACCAAAGACCTTATTTCAGAGGTCTTGCCAAAAACCCATTCATAAAACCCATGATTTTGAGATGAGTGTGCAAAGGACAAAAATGCTGACTCATTTCTCCAGCTCTATTCTGGTTTAGTGTGACGTGTGGTGTGTCTCCAGGTGGATTTTTGCGGGTCGAAAGTCCCGGGCCGGGTTTGTTTTCCCACTCCTCCCCTGATTGGTGGAGCTTCTTTTGTTAGTTGGATGTTGGAACATAATTAAGAGATGAAGAGGAACTAAGTGGGCCAGAAAAAATAATGTACAAGCGCTGTAAAACACTTTTCAACACTGTCCTTTAAACGTATATTTTCCAGCACCCAGGATACAAACAGGAAGTCCTTTGGAAAGTGATATGAACAAAACAACAACAACAACAAAAAGTGACATCAGGTTTCTCCTCCACAGGTATGATTGAGATTGTGAGGAATGCAGCGACCATCGCTGCCATCCACTGGAGCCAGGGAGGAACGTCAGCAGCCTTCAAGAACGATGCTCTCTTTGAGTGGCTCAAGTCCAAATGTCCACTCCAGGAAATAGTAAGTAATCTGGACGTAGTTCAAAGGCAGGGTTTTCGACAAGATGTGGACCCGAATGAAAAAAAGCCCGCTCCAGTCAAGCCTTGATGTTTAAGATGGTCTGGCTAAATGTCATCGGTCTGTGCAGCTGCCCACTTTAAAACACTGAAAAATAGTCATTTTTATTTTTGTCTGTGCTCACACACAGTTACTTTTTCTTTCAGTGGACACATCTTGTCACTAGATGTCTTGTCTTTAACACACTTTCACTTTTACCTTCCAATGGAACCTTTTTACAGCGTGCCTAAATTAAGAGTGTAGACCAGTTGACTTTTGTTCCTTTTATTTCAAATATATTAATGATATAGCCTCGGTATTAGATCTGCCACGTTACCAATTGTGTTACTGCACTGCTGTGATCTCATTTGACTACAGCACTACAAGGCCGTGGAGAGATTTGTGCACTCCTGTGCTGGTTACTGTGTGGCCACGTATGTGTTGGGCATAGGAGATCGACACAATGACAACATCATGATCACGGACCGAGGTATGCGCCACATGTTTGGTTCACATTCCCACACGCTGTTAAACCTGTCTGCATTTGTGCAAATGTAAACAATCCAGATAATGTAAATCTCACTGAGAGAGTGACCGAATGATGGAAAAGAGCAACAAATTAACAACACACTGAGTTGATTGACAGGCTGATTTAAATGCTTTTTGTATTTCCCACGCCTCTCAGGGAACCTGTTTCACATCGACTTCGGTCACATCTTGGGCAACAGGAAGTACTTCCTTGGCGTGAGCAGGGAGCGTGTACCATTCGTCCTCACGCCTGACTTCCTGCATGTCATGGGCAGGGGCAAAGGGCGCAACAGCCTCTACTTTCAGCGCTTCAGGGTGAGAAGCCCTGATTGTGTGCATGTGTGTGGGTGTGGTTGTGTTTGTTTGTGTGTAATTATACTGATACTTTCATATCATGATAAGGCTGCAGTTGTTCTATATTTGTCATATTGTCAGCAAATCCTATGAAAAGACTAAAACAAACTGCAAAACATTCAAAATGCATTAGTATTTCTGTCAATGCGTCCGAGGTTTCACACCTTATCTTTGACTTGCAGCCTCAACCTATTAGTTCTTACAGAAGGCGTACATTAACAACTTTATAAAAAGGTTGTGTGTATGTGTGTTGCATAAGTGAATGGACAAGTGAATCCACTGTGCACGCGTATGTGCCTATGTGTAAATGTACAGTAGATATTTGTCAGATATTGTGTTCTGTATCCTGTTATCTTTTGTCCTTATTTCCTTATCTTTTCTTCTTGTCCTCCATTCCTTCTCTTGTCTTTCTCACCTACTCACATTAGCACACTTGCACCCAGACATACCTCTCCCTGCGCTCGCACTCCCGTCTGCTGGTCACCCTTTTCTCCCTCATGCTGCTGACGGGCATCCCTGAGCTGAGTGCTGCAGAGGACATGCGCTACCTGCGGGAGGCGCTCCAGGAGGAACAGGGTGAGGCAGAGGCCAAGGAGCATTTCCTCCAGCAAATCTCTCTGTGTGAGCAGCTGGGCTGGACTGTGCAGGCCAACTGGTGGATCCACATGGTGGCAGGCATCAAGTAGAAACTCTGAATCGTGCTGCAACATTTTGTTATTATTAATGTCTAAATGTAATATTGTTTTATTTTTTGTGGTTGTTCTCATTGTTTCTTTTTATGTATTATTTCTAAACTCATGTACTCCCTCACCGCGGCTGTTTTTATAGACTTTTGGCACAAAAGATGCTCTTCCACCTTTCTAAACAGGATGAGTCGACAGCATGTCAAGATCAAGTCAGCCAGAAATCTCACTGGCACCTCAAACACGCCTATTCTGCATGTTTGGCTACTGAAATTAGGAAATGACCTTCATCGTTATTTTATTTCAATGTAAAATTGTCTGAGTGCCCCTATTTTTATTCATATTGAGCAGAAGCTCATATAGTGTGTGTGTGTATGTATATGTCTATATATATATATAGTGTACTGTAACGTTAAAGGGGAACTGCACTGATTTTACATGTCAAAGTTTAAAGGTGTTGGCAACTGCATAAGTGAAAAAAGTTGTATAAAGCCAGTCAGTGCCAGTTGTTAACTTACTAGACCTTTGTAGTCTGCTCCTTATCTACACTTGAGGCTGCGAATTGTTGGAGGCCCAGTGGCATTGTGGGTAATGTAGGCACCAGGTTTTGACAAGGAAGAAGAATGTGTGGAATGAAAGTGGAGAGCCATTTTAATGTTTTTTGCAAAGTTTTTTGAAGGAGACTAGAAAGAGTCTGACTTCATTTGTGTTCATATCCTCAAAAGTTGTACTGCATTGAATAAAAACCTCTGAGACGTAATGTGTCGTCTTTAACATTTTCTCATCTCATAACTGCAGACCTTGTGGTCCCACAACAACTCTCATCGTGACGTAAGTAAAACACACATAACGTACATGCATGCATGCATAGTATTGGTGCAGAGAAAGGGTGTATGGGGAGAAATGTAGGGAGAGGAGGGAGCAGGGGTCGTGGTAGACTTTAGGGTAGAGAGACAGACGGACAACGTCACTACCATGGATACAACATGGATCGCTTTGCTTGCTGTTTGTTACCTTTCCACCCTCTCTGTCTCCCCATTAGTCATCATGATCAACGAGGGACATGAAAGTT